ATAATCAAGTATAAATATGTATGTTTCATCTTTCTTCTTTTTTATTTTATTTTGCTAAAATTAATTATTATTTATGGAAAATATTTGACAGTTCCTACAAAAATAGCTATTTCATTTCTTTGATTTAGTAAATTTTTATTCTTCAAAAACTTAATAATGTATACTTTTTCATGTAGCTACAAAGAACATGGATCATTTAATGACCTACAAGCTCTATATTTTCTTACCAATTTTCATTTTATTGCTAGTGTTTTAAGTGCCAGTCATATTTAGATAGGGACGTTTGATTTTGTTATTTATTATTATTCAAAGAAGTTTGATCTCAGTTTCGCCTTTTTTGAATTCATTCCTTGTGCATCTAATGTATCATATAACTATGTCTGGATCTTCAATAGATGAGATATTGCATTGATAAACTATTGATTCAATACGATATTTATTATTCATAGGACAGTTTTGAGGATTTCTACTGTTACATAATTTTTCTTTATCGTCGTTTCTTTTTATTTTAGGACCTATTTTGGGGGGGATTTGTGCTTATTCAGGATATTAGCATTATGTTTCTTAATAATTATTCCCAAGTTTTCAGTACAACTGTAACTTAATTTTAGGGTATTTTTTTGGTTTCATGAAGGTATATGCTTAAATACAAAAAAGAGAATAAGTACAAATTCAGGAAATGAGACAATATTCTATGAACATATTAATTTCTATAATAAAGCTCTAAAGAATAGCCGCTATAAATGCCCAAACCTCAATTATATAAAAAATGGAAATGGACACCATAGAAAAAATAGAAATAGAAAAATCATTTGGTATACACCCCAATACAAATCACATGCTAAGAAATAAGTTCGGACAAAAATGTCTTGTATTAATTGATAAACATTTTCCTAAAGATAGTAAACTTATTACAATTTTTAATAAAAATACTCTAAAATTAAATTACAGTTGTACTGAAAACTTACAAAGGATATATAGTTCCTATCCCTATATTTTATTAGAGTAAATAGCGAAATTAATGACAAGCGATAAAAATAAGGAAGTCCTACTAAATAAAAATTGTATTTCCGCCAAAAATCAAATCTGAGTCAAGGTTAGATTTACCCATTTCAGGAAAGCACCTTTTTCTTGTTGGGACTTCTGCGACTATATATATATATATATATATATATATATATATATAAAACTACAAAAATAGCCATTTTTCAACACTTCCGGTGTCTTATCAAGTGATGGTGTTGAATGTTGAATGAAATTATGTAATAATTTTCGAATAAATAATTATATATATATAATTTTCGGATAAATAATTATATATATATATTCTGTTTATAAGTTATTTTTATAGATACAAATATTTAAGTTAATATTCTGTTTATAATAAACAGTATTAACTATATTTACCAGCCTTAATCTCTGAGAAATTTCATAGAAAATATGAGTCCTCCGACAGGAATCGAACCTCTATCGTACACGGAACCTTCATATAGCCTTATGTGCTATACCTTTTAACAACAGAGGAAGCGTCTGGTTAGCAAAGTCAAATTACTCTTTTTAAACTACATGATTTCTCTCGGACGCTCATATCATCTCGAAGCGTATCTTAATGTATTTTCTATGAAATTTATCTGTATTCGTACAGTACAAAAAAGAAAAGCATTATCTTCATGTAATATTTTGTAGAATAGCGATTATTCACTTCTATAGTAACTAACGACTTCTTGTAGTTCTCAGTTATTTGTAAATTTTAGTTGGTATTTTGTTCCATTCTTCTTCGCATATGACCTTCACATCCGGGATATTTTCTGGCAATTGTGCTTTTACACCTGTTATATATATATATATATATATATATATATATATATATATATATTAACTAATGCATTTTGCAGAGTCCTACTGAAACACACTTTGTGATTCTTTAACGACCACATCGCCAAATTCTGGTTTGAAACATAACTATGTTGAGCAGATCATATTTACTAGTGTGGGAGCACAACCTGCCGAGAAGAGCAGTTGAACAGGGCCATCACGCCCAAAGGTTCGCTCACGATGACACTTAACATCAAAGTCATCCGAACAGTTTTGTCCACCCACGTCCTTTCACAACTGTGTGCTATAGTTTTCAGGCATTTCCATTCTTAAGAGGTTATTTATATTCAAACAGCTTCATATCCAGGACCGTGTTTTATGGGGGTTTTTTAGAACGGACGCCCGAGAGAATTCTTCCCCGGACACTACAATTCTTAACCTCTTCAAGTCTAGGGTCAACCGTTACCTAATCTTCATAACCACCTAATATACAATTCTTACGGCTATAAAACCAACCCCATTCAGTACGTCTCTATCTTGAGTAGACTTGCATTGGGGGAGTAATAATTGTGTAATGTGTTATGTCTGTTTAATATTTTATTGTATTTTTTCTATTTTTGAATATGACGTTGGACACTGGAATCAGAATTGTGGATAAACAGGCAGGATTTTTTTCTTTGTGTCAATATGGAGAACTGGTTATTGTCAGTGTGGTACACAAGTTTGAGTTGTCAATATCCTGGTATTTTGTGGATGACCTCAGTTCAAATGATCTGAAGTGATTTCATGTGTAAAAGTGAGCTGGACCATGCCGTTAAAAATGTATGAAATATTTTGTGTGTATATTAAATACGTTATACGCGCTTTAAAAGCGTCTCCTGTGTTGAAAGATATATTAGTCTTGTTTTCCTTTTGCATATATCTATTTCTATATATATATATATATATATATATATATATATATATATATATATATATAGACAGAGAGGGGGGGGAGAGAGAGAGAAAGAGATAGATAGATCCAACGAAGGATATCTCGAGTCGCGACTGCAATTTATGGGTGTTGAACAAACACAAAATTTCCTATAGCAGGTTCATGCAACAAAGATTGGCTAGCCTCCTGAGCAGACAGGTAAGCTAGGAAAACGAGACTAGCTGAACTTTTGTATATAATGGATTAAAGTATTTTCAGTCTTTCCTTGCAGTGAGTGCTGTATAGGATTTGGGGATCAAAATGGGGTTGATATTCATCTTATTACACACAGATACGCACACACACACACACACATACACACATATATATATATATATATATATATATATATATATATATATATATATATAGTAGTTATATATTTAGGCAGCAATCCTTCCTTTATGCATGTTTCATTAAAAACGACAGACAAGGTACTACGGTTAAACTTTTTATTTAATTTTTTTCTTGTGTTGTAACAAGGGTGCGTAAGAACTGTCCAAATGTTTTATATTTTTGAGCGCTTTCGGCTATACCATTACCCATTATCAAGGATGATTCGATTTTTCAGCTTACTTGAGTGTTTGCATTCTGTGTATGTGGTAGGGATGTTTTTAATTTCCGAATACGGTTAGCACATTGTGGCTTTGTACGTAGAAAATATTGTTAAGAGTTGGCTTTTTCTTTTTTATTATTAAAGCTTCCATTATTTTTAGTCTATTTTTGCAGGTGGATGCAGTTAATATATTTGTATTTTCTACTAGTATGTTCCTAATAGAGTCGGGTAAATTTGTGTGTGTGTTTAAATGGGTTCTAATGGAGCTGTGGTCATATATATATATATATATATATATATATATATATATGCATAATTTTATATAACTTTCATTAAAGACGATTGACAAGATATTGCAATTAAGCTTTTTATTTAATTTTTCTTCTTTTCTTATGAATTTTTTCGTTTCTGGGAATAAAGTGTGTAAAAATTGTCCGAATATTCTGCTTATCCTTGTGCTTTCGGCTATTCTTTTACTGATTACCGTGGATGATTTTTATTTTTTACTGAATGTATGGATTTTTTTTATATGTATGTACCTAGAGTTATAGGACTGTTCCAAATACTGTCAGCGCACCTAAGCGATATGAGTGTTGGCTTTTTCTTTTTTTTTATTAGTAGTTTTATTATTTTAAGTCTTTTTACATGTTGATGAGGCTATTATCCTTGTATTTTTTTAAAATATTTAGCGGATGGAGTTTTTTATGTTTCTCTGCGTCTTTAAATGCATTCTAATTGAGCTATGGTCAGAAAGGTGTAACGTGAGTCTTCTCGATAGGTATGTAGTGGTATATCCAATATAATTATTCAGGAGTATAGTCTGATCAGGAATATATATATATATATATATATATATATATATATATATATATTAGATAGATAGATACGTATGTATGTATGAATGTATGTATGTATTTTGTATTCGGGCAGCAATCCCTCTTTTATATAGGTTTCATTAAAGACGACAAACAAGGTACTTGGATGAAGCTTTATATTTCATTTCCTTGTTTTCGTATAAGTGTTTTTCTTTCTGGATATCAAGTGTGTAAAAACTCTCCTATTATTCTACATATGCGACGGTTTTCGGCAATTTTCTTAGCCATTATCGACGATGATTTTTATTTTTATTTTTAACTGAATCTATAGATTTATTCATGGTTATAAAAATGTTTTATTTTCCAAACACGGTCAGCACATGTTTGTCTTGTTCATAGTTGATGTTATGGAGTGTTGTTTTTTTTTTTTTTTTTTTTTTTTCTTTTTTTACTATTAGTGCCTCCATTATTTTTAACTGTGGATATAGCTAACATCCTTGTATTTTTTACAAGTATGTTGCCGATGACGTTCGGTAGGCTCCCGTGCCTGTTTAAATGCTTCCTAATTGACCTATGGTCAGGGGAGGTGTAACGTGAGTCCTCTCGATAGGCATGTCGTGGTATATTCAATATAATTGTTCAGGAGTAGGCATGTGGATTTATAAATAACATTGTTTCTTAGTAGGTGTGTTGCTATTGTTGATGATAAGGTTAGCTGTTTTAAGTTAAAAATTAAAAAAAAGGTAATGGTTCAAAGAATAGCCGAAAGCGCTCGGATATGCAAAACATTTGGACATTTCATGCTTTTCTTATCTGCTAAATAGAAATATTGCGTGAAAAAATGAGCATTAACATCAGCTGTTGCTTCTCATGCCCCCCCCTCCACCTCACGCGCAGCGGATTGTTTGCGGCAAATCTTTCAGGACCCTCATGGTCAGAGACATTGATTTGTCCCCCATATGAACAAAATGATTACAAATATCTTCCGTCATATGAAATAAATTTGTTTTTTAGGAAGAGAGAAAAATAGGACAGCTATATAAGGAGGAGTGGATGTAAAAAAAAATATCAATGAAACTATTTAATTTATACTAATAATATTAATGCATCTTTGCCTATATCCCTTACTATGGTCACGTGCACCATGATTTAATTAGCACTCTCTCTCTCTCTCTCTCCCTCTCTCTCTCTCTCTCTCTCTCTGAGAAATATGATCATCGCTGTGATAAATGCAAAGTATTTGGAAGTAATAAAAAATAAAACGGATAATGTTAACGAAAATGAAAGTGAAAGTAAAAAGTGCCAAGAATGTTCATTTTCTTAAATTTTTATCCAAATTATTTAACTTTTATCAAAATGCACACACACACACACACACACATATATATATATATATATATATATAGATAGATAGATAGATAGATAGATAGATAGATAGATAGATAGATAGATAGATATATGTAAGCAAATATATGTATATAGATCCGACAGTATGAAGAAAAATATATACGTCCGACGTTGACATTATATTAACATTAAAACAACATAATTGCATGTTAGGATTTTTGTTTGTTTTTCCGTATATTTTTCTTCATATATATATATATATATATATATATGTATGTGTGTGTGTGTGTGTGTGTGTGTGTGTGTGTGTGTGTGTGTGTGTGTGTGTGAATGACGTGAATGGTCACTTTAAAGGATAAGTTTTACGAAGCTGTTACGGCGCTCAAACAAAAATCCCTTTAGAATCGAAAGAATTTGTCCACCTTCCGGGTTGTGAATTTATTCTATACCAATAAAAGCAGAATCTAATGGAATGCGCTTGTCACAGAAATGTATTTTCCACTCGCTCTACATTGATGTAAACAAGTGGTCGCCAATATATAAAACATCTAACGCCTGGGAAATTGTTAATCAGCAGTTAATGGGTCGGGGCAATCGGAAGTGGCGTGCAGAAGCTCGATGCCTAACTGCATCAGTTGTTTTGTTTTGTTTTTTATGTATGATGTCTTTATTATACTGCAGCAAACGAAGTCTGTTTCCACCACAGCTGGTGAAAATATTTGCAACATTTCAGGTATCAATTACAAACAGCGACAAGAAGACTCCGAGAGATTTTCTTTCTGGATGAGAGTGTTACGGCAATGGAAGCAATAAATCTGACTTAACATTCTACATACAGACACACATGTGTATATATATCTGACGATCGCAAAAGCGTAAAACCCAGGGTCACAAACTCACATCAATCCAACCAAATATGTTAGCTCTATCTCTGATATTGAGCGCTTTCTAATAAGTACCGCGCATATAATATATAAATAATTATAGATATATATATTTATTTATATTTATATACACACACTTTTCACACACACACACACACACACACACACACACACATATATATATATATATATATATATATATATATATATATATATATTGTTAAATATCACAGAAAATGAATGTATATTATGTCTAATCATAAGCGGTTCTAAAGTTCGTATATTTGCTTTAATTTGTGGTGAAAATAAAGATAAAATGTTCCAAAATTTGGATATTTTTTATTAAGTTGGTCCTTGATTTAAGCTTTCGGCTCTCATGAGTCTTCTCCAGGGTGGTTATACGGACATTTAAATAAATATATATATATATATATATATATATATATATATATATATATATATATATATATATATATATATATATATATCTTTCATTGGAAACAACCGACAAGGAAGATTACCGCAATTTAACATTTTTTCCGTTTTTCAGGGGGTTAAAGAATATGGGAATTGTGCATAATTATAATTGTTCCGGGTGCATTCGGCTTTTTCTCTACCCATTATCAAGGTTGTGTTTTGGGATGGTGAAATTCTGGGTGTGTCTGCTACATTCTAATTTTACAATGTGGAGTTCGAGTCCATTTGTGTGCTTCTTGGCGGTCACGTGCTAAACGCCAAAAAGCACACAAACCGCTCGAACGCCACACTGTACTGTAAGCAAATGGTGTCGAGGGACATTGGAATCTTAATCTTTTAATATTTTTTTTTCATATATACGTTTGGGTAGTTTGACCAAATTTCATTTAGTTTCTTTTTTTTTTCTCGTTTTCTCCACTTTCGTCTATGTCGTTTTTATTTTTACCCCTTATTTTTTGTTTTCATCTCTTTTGCCACTTTCTTCCCATGTATAGCCAATTGATGATATCCCCTGGCGAGGGGACGGAGTGATTGATGGAGAGTCGGAATGCTGAAGGTAACACCAATTGACTATGTAACAAATTTTATATTTATATTAATTCCATCTACCTATCTATCTATCTATCTATATATATATATATATATATATATATATATGGCTTGTGGAGTTGTCTGTAATAAAGATTCGCTAGTTTCCCTTGGGAGACGCTTGAGCTGGAAAAGATTATTTCTCTTTCTTTATTTTTTTTCCCTCTCTCTCTCTCTCTCTCTCTCTCTCTCTCTCTCTCTCTCTCTCTCTCTTTCTATATCTCTCTTTCTCCGTCTATCTTTCTCTGTCTATCTTTCTCTCTCTTTCTCTCTATCTCTCTCGTACACTCTAGTTGTGGAGTATGGAACAGCCGGTTGTTTTGCTTTCTTTTTTTGTCGCTGTTGTTTTTACACGGGGTAGGGTTGATACCCTTATTTCCAAACTGTTTTTTTAATTCAATGTTATCTCTCTCATAGACTGGTTGTCATCCGAGGCTAAAGGGGTCAATTTGTTACTCTATTTAGCCCATATATAAGAGATGGATTGATTCATACTTTTCTGAAGGATATTTACGCGAAATTGGATGTTACATACATGATTTGAATTTGAACTCTTCCCCCAGATTTATCAATCTAAGCCTCTAACCATTATACAACACGCGAATCCTCTATTTCCTATAGTAAATGTAAAATTTTCACTTGCGCATTTTTTTTAATCATTTCACCTCAAGCAAGGCAATAAAGCCACTAAGGCGGAAGAGGTTAATGAGTGTGAGAGAATGTGAAAAAAGACATAATTAAGGGCAGAGAACAATAAAAGAACAGGAATTATGTAGTCAGAAGATAATGATTGACAGTTCATTTGAATTTTTGAAGATAAAAGCTGATTTAATTATTCCGTTATTCTTACACTACGGATGGTACTAGATTTATCTGAATGGACGTTGATATTTATGGTGTTTGTCAATTACCAAAATCGGTTTCGGTGCATTTTGATATTTACTTAAAAATGATACTTTCCTTCATTGTCGTTTGAAAAAAGAGGAAATAATTTTAAGTGCCCCCTTGTCAAGTCTCAGAGAACATCATTTCCGAAGGATATTTGCTGTTCCTAAGATTTTAAGAAATCATTTCATCGCAAACAAAGCGATAATGTCACTAAAACGCAGAGGATTCCTTGGAATGGAAAAGAAAAAGACTTTAATATTGAGAAAGGACAATAAAAGAACAGGTGTTCAGTTAGTCAGTAGATGGCAATTGATACTGCATATAATCTTTTAAAGATTATAGATGGCATTGAAACAAGAAACTGGGCGAGAGTTCCACGGGTGATAAGTGCGAGAAAAGAACACATGGCACAGTGGATAAAGGCGTTGGTTAGATCCAGTGACAGGATCCAAAAGAGTGTGAGTTCAATACCCGGTTAAGGCAGTGGAGAACTTCCAGAGAGAAATTAACAGGAGATAACTGAAAACTATTAAACATGGCACGTGGAACTAGAACAGTCTACCCCAGTGAGCGAAATAAAGGGTTAAGTTCGACATTCCAACCATCCGAAGAAGGCCGGAGCGTACAACGGCCGAAACGTTGTAATAAATATGGCGACAAAGATGAGGACAATAGTCCGAATAATGTAAATAATGTACATAATACTTCATCTCAGAAATATAGACAGATACAGAAAAGAAACTATTAGAATAGAACTTACGGTTTTATCGATTTCTTTCAACAGTAAAACTATTAAACCTAGTAGTACGCTTAAATTCATGAACTTTATGTACCAATAATAGAGTTTATTAGAAGTTCTATAGAAAAGACAGAGGACAGATTTAGATTATATCAAGGTAATAAAATAAAGACAATGACAATGGTAATAGTAATTCTGAATTACTTTATGCTCTTTCCAACGAGATGAAAATACACTCAATCCTTGTCCGCACAGCTCTTTATATAACGTCGGAGGAGGTAACTTATATCCTCTACTGTCTGGCTATAGAAGACCCCAAATATCTAATGAGACCTTCTACTTCGATTGTAAACTAAAAAAGGTTACTGTATGTGGAATAACCAAAACAGAAATTGGAAACGAAATGGTAAACTTTATAATATCAACAAAATACAATACTCGTCAGCGGCGTAGTTAAAGTAGGTAAACCACTGTTAGTGGTAGACTATTTAGACAGCATATTACCCCCACTTAAATCTGTGTCAAACGTATTTATAAGGATTGGGACATACCCATTAGTGTTCATAGGTACGGTATATAACACCCCCCCCTTTTAGATTTACTCTGCACAGAGTCAATATCTTTTCCTTTTCGCTAAAATGTTGTAAAACGTTACTGAATGAGGAATAACCAAAAACGTAGGTTGGAAGTGAAATGGTGATCTTTATAACATCAACAACATACAATGCTCGCCAGTGTCGTGAAGTAGGTAAACCACTGCTAATGGTGAATTACTTAGATAGCATATTACCCCCACACACTTACAATAGTGTCCATCGTATTTATGAGGATTGAGACATACCCATTGGTGTTCATAGTTTGGTATATAACCAGTCCACTTTTTAGATTTACTCTGCACAGAGGTAATATCTTTTCCTTTTCGCTAAAATGTTGTAACCTAGAAAAGGTTACATAATGAGGAATAACCAAAAACGAAGGTTGGAAATGAAATGGTAATCTTTATAGCATCAATAAAATACAATACTCGCCAGCGGCGTGAAGTAGGTAAACCACTGCTAGCATATTATCCCCACTTACAATAGTGTCCAACATATTTAGGAAGATTGGGACATACCTATTAGTGTTCATAGTACGGTATATAACAAATCTACAGGAGTCTTCTGAAGATTTCTTCGCAATCAGCCCAAGCACAGCTTTGTCATGTACAATCTACATTCTCTAAATATCTTCCCTCAACTATGAATAATTCACAATCTTTTCAGATTCTTAACGTGCAATCTAATGATCTCCAAGTCATAGCACATCTATTCACAAACACTCATGAGAACTTTTTATGAGCAATATTATGTCTGGTCTGTGTCAGTCTGAATTTCAAAGTCCCACAAGAGTTTCAGATGCTCATTTTTCCAGTACTTTCGACGGCTTATGTTTCTCGGACTTGTCAGAAGTCTGGAATCCATACTTCCGACACAAACACCAAAGGCGATGCAAATACCTTGTGTCATGGCGCCTCTTCTAATCTCTCTACGTAAACATTTCGCAGGCGCTTATATGTGTCACAATCTCGATCTTCATCACACACTCTACACGCATTCGATTTTGCCAGATGTTAAATATGTTTTTCATAGAATTTGTAAGCTTAGTCTCATTATTATTAGTAGTAGTAGTAGACCAAATATGATGCCGATTCCTTCAGGGAATTGTGTCAAAATTTGATATATGAGGAAATATAATGTCCGACACAACGATATCGACAAAATTTGTGGAACATTTTATCGCCAACGACGAATATCTCAAGGTACACATTGTGAAAAATTAGCCAGAATCAACCGACCTTTGAACTCTTAAAACCTATGAAGATAATTACATTTGCAAACGACTAACGTCCCACTCCGTGTGGATGAACAAAATAACGGGTGAGTTTGTAAGATTATATTTGATTAATTGCTCTTACTAACTAATCCGCAATCTAACAATCCATAATACGTTTGGCACGTGAGAGAGGAGTTTCAGCTATGACAGTCCAAAAGAGCAGCGAAAAAAAGACTTGAAAATGAAGTCGTACGTGAGGCCTGTGAGGTACCTTGTTACTCCAGGACAGAAAGTTAGAAGGTTAGAGAGGGCAAGAAAATCTTGAATGACCCTGGACTAGACACACACACACACACACACACACACACACACACACACACACACATATATATATATATATATATATATATATATATATATGAACTTAATTCCAATGCTTCGTGAGCTTCCATTCCTTAACTATGATTAATTAATGAGGAAGATGTCATTTTCGAATCCATGGCGATTCTTCTGTTAAACTTTCCAATTAAACATTCTTATTGCACAAAGTAGAGGCCAATAATTTTACAAAAATCGCAGATAATTCCAATAAGATGTCTTTAATCGTTTCTAAGATACAACGATTCAAAGCTTAATCTAACAATTGGACGATTTTGCTGTTACAGATATGTATATGTATATATATATATATATATATATATATATATATATATATATATATATATATGTGTGTGTGTGTGTGTGTGTGTGTGTGTGTGTGTGTATATATATATATATATATATATATATATATATATATTATAATAAAAAAGAAAGATGTATAAAACAGTAAGATATATAATCTGGTGTTTTTATAGATATTTTTATTTTTACTAAACAGTTCTCAATGTAAATTTACAGAGCATAAACTTTATACATTGACGTATATAAAATATGGTTTCTTCGCTACACAGTAATAACCATGTTTTAAAAACCGAAGGTAAAAACTTCAAATTTAAATATATAATTAAATTAAAAGCATTACTACTGCCCCTGTCTAAATGATTTGATTTCTCTGTTTCCTTAGAAAATAGAAATTATGAATTGTATGTGCGTTTAAACTCAGTAAATTTAAAAAGAAGTTATTCCAAAATTCATTTGAAAATGTAACATAACTAATGCTTTCAATAAGTTAATATATATATATATATAGTTTGTTAACGTGTTCCAGCGCGAATGCCATCAACTTCAGCCACCGAAACAAATCAAGAGCAAATTATTTTTGTCGTATTATCTAACAGAAAGAATCCAGAGGTACGTATTCTTGTCTTTCGTCAGAATATGAATATAAAATGGACATCAGTAACCGCTATCCTAATTCGAACTTGGTTCCTCAATTTCGTTTGAAACGATGATAATCGTTACGCCAACTCACATTCGCTAAGCGTCAGTAAGTTTTATTATCATTGACATTTTGCTTTTTCGGTATCTGCTGTAGTTGGCAATCTTAAACAGCAAAATTTTATATTTGGTTGCAGATGTGTCTGGGTGGGATTATAGTTGTCCATTAAAACTGTAGAAAGGTTGTCGATCTACACTATGTCCCTCAAACTTGTGGCCTTGTAAACAGCAACTTTATATTCGGCCAATACAAAATCTAGATTCAACAGATATTCTATTGCATAAATGGATATATAGATAAGATACTTAGACGTTCACGCCTAGACCTTGTTCATTAAATCTGATAAAATGACCAAGCATCACATCATATTTGGGAAGGATTTTCTCTGCTCTGTACGTTAACTTTCTCTCTCTATCTCTTTGTCTTTATCTCTATCTCTCTCCCAATAAATGCACACACACACACATATATATATATATATATATATATATATATATATATATATATATATATATATATAAGCAGTATGGACAACGATCAACCCTGAGTGGCGATAGTCTGTTTCTTAGGACTCGGAATTGCGTTTGAGCATGCAAGGAACATGAAAGAAACGGCCGATAGCTATTTCCACACTGCTTATTTTCACATACGCTCTGTCCATCATTTTGAGCACTTTTCTCCCTTCAATATAACATACATTAAAAACTATATTTCATCCCATACATAGAACTATGTGTGTGTGTCTGTGTGTGTACAACTCAGATACTCATAGATTTACAAAGAGAACGTACTGTTGGCGGACAGAGACGTGCGATTGTCTAAGAGAGAGTGACAAAGTAACTGATAGATTTGTTCTCTATTTTTCTCTACTTCTAATCTTTCTCACCTCCTACTTACCTGTATGTCTTCTTCTTCTTCTTCTTCTTCTTCTTCTTCTCTCTCTCTCTCTCTCTCTCTCTCTCATTCTTTCCTACTCTTTCTTTCTACCTAAATTTACCTTCTCCGACTATCACCTTCCTTCTCTCTTTCCCCCTTTGGTTATGTACGTCATACAATTTGAAACATTTATTTACTCTATTAAACTTTGACTTTCATTCTTTATTCATTCATTCATTCATTTCCCCGATGCATACCTGAACAGCTAACCTCATATTCTTGTACGAATACACATTCACGAACCGGCAGCATATATATTCATACGTACACAAGTGCACAATATTCCCTTGCCTATTGAAAACTGCGCAAATATATACACACAAACGAGTTCATGAAAAAATCATAAATAGACTGGAATTATAAGCATGCATTTTATACGTAGATTTGTATGCGTGTACCTATATATACATCCATGCATCAATTTATGAGTGCATATATATATATATATATATATATATATATATATATATATATATATATATATATATATATATATATATATATATATACGCCGCCATGCTCACGTGCATCTTGATCTAATTAGGTCTGTCTGAGAACGAGGTTCATCTCTGTGATGAATGCAAAATTCATGAAAGAAATAAAAAAGTGAAAAAAATAAAGATACCGAAAGTGAAAGTAAAAAGTGAAAACGATAAAGATATCGAAAGTGAAAGTAAAAAGTGAACACGATAAAGATATCGAAAGTGAAAGTAAAAAAGTGAAGAATGTTTTTCGTATTTTACCCATCCTTTTTGTACTTATATATATATATATATATATATATATATATATATATATATTTGTGTGTATTATTTTTGTTTTCACTTTTGATCGTTGTATTTTTTCTTCTTTCTCCTTGTACTTTTATTAATGTATTCATTCTAATATTCCTCTTCCTCGCTTTCTCTTTCTCTTCATACATCTAGTTTCTTTTATTTTTTTTCTCTTTCTAGCTTTGCCAACATTAGCTATATATCTGTTGCTAGAGGGAAGTTCTGGTTTTTAGCTTTTCGTCTAATAAGCAGCGTGCCAAATCGGAGTTGCTATCAGAGGGAAAGTTCTTACCACTCTTTCTTTTCTGCCTTTTCCCAACTACGTGCGTTCCTTACCGAATGAACGTGTGAACGCAAGAGGTAAGTGGTTCGACGGTAGGTGGCGCATGTTCATTTATTGTATGTATTCTGCTGGTCGTCGTATGTGCAAAAGTTAAGTTTCTATTTTTTTTTTTCAACTTCTTTCTCTCTTGTGCGAATGCGAAGTTTTCTGTCCGCATGTGTATGCACAGTATGTCTGTAAGCATATCTATGGAATGTGAAATCCATCTGTGTGCGTATGACAATGTGAAAGAACATACTTTAAGAACGCACCTGTGCATATATAAGTGCTTTTTTATATCTTGTGTTTTAATGGGATTTTTTTTTCTCTTTTTTTTTTTTTCGTTTTTTTTTTTGGTTCGTGCGTGCATCTGTTTATGGGTGGAATATCTGTAGGATCTAATCTGTACGCGAAAGTAAGTCTATATGTGTAAGTGCCAATCTGTGAGATCTGAATGCTTTTTTACTTGCATTTTTATTCTTTTTACTTCGTGCGAAGTTTCCCCTCTAAGCCTGCATTTGAATACAAAAATTTGTATCTAATATGTGTACACATAGGGAGTACGTATGTGTGCGTTACCGCATATAATGACTGCAAATGTTCACATGAGAACACTTACTTAGTTTAGATTAAGTTTGACACAAGGTCACGAGTATACTGTTACTGTGTAAGCGTTGAACTCCATAGTCATAATCTGCTAGGTTTTCTAAACATTACATGCCATTGAGATATTCGTACGTGAAATAAATGTTTAACTTACTCAAAATGGGCACATATTTATGTATGTATATGTTTATGCGTATTGTGTTTTTTATACTATTGTTCATCTAGTAACCCTCTACCTTGAGTGGCTCAAAATTGTATTTCTGATGTTAGAGCCCTGGGGTTGGGTGAACTAAACGCGTGAGAAAATGTGTAAACGGAACTATTCCGAAGCCAGCGGTGGTTGTACTCTCACGTAAGTCACCGTGGTTTGGAGCGTACTGGCCTTGTTCACAATATCGATCATTCCAGATTATGTGCTGTCTTTCAGAAACAGTAACTAAGGTCTACTCAGCATAGTGACAGTTTCAACAGCCAGCCATTATTATCATTATTATTACCATGTATAGAAATTATGGTATGTACATTTCACTGCTACATAATATTTTAATATGATGTTGTCTTCGTCAATATGCATGATATAGTAGTCCCCTTTAGTTAAAACGGTTGGTTGTACGTATTTCAACAAGACTCGCCCTCGCACATGGCCCAAGAATAATTAGCCAGAAATTAATTAACCAACATCTTCTTATTAGATCTCTTTATTTGAATCCACTCGGCTACTGTCCTGAATGTCTGCGAAAAGGTAACAGACCATTGGCCAACAATAACTTTAAAGGCTGCCATTTTGGACATGATTGCAAATTTAAGTCAACAGCCAAAGGCGTTGTGTTTTTGCTCGATTATTTACAGGGCACGATGTGTAAATTGTCGCCATTTTATATTTTTAATTTCACGCATGCGTGTTGTTTGTCTTTAATATTGTCGACTGCACAGTATAGCAGGGTCAGTTGCGCACTTTCTGTGAGAAAAAAATCACCATGACGCAATTCACTCTGCCTGTAAATTGGAAACGGCATGCTGTAATGTTTTGTAATTGCACCGGAAGCTCTAATACGAACATTTCAGAGTGATTGTGTGACAGTGCAGAAGATTCGGAAAGAGTTGGATGTGTCTAATGGTGATTATGAAGGTGTTTCGGGTGATCATTAGTGATTGCGATATTATGCCTCCATTCATCTTCCCACCTGACATCAGACTCAACATTGAGGCCTACATCAAGTGCCTTGAGTGGGTAGTGCTTCCCTGGGTCAGAAGGGCATCAGTTAGAAGAGCCTATTTCTGGCAGCATTCACCAACTCAAACAAGGAGAGCGTCCAGAAAATTCGCAGGAGATTCTGTGTTTGAAGACCGTGGTTGAAGCCAATGGCGACTTTATTGAATAAATTTATTCAATAAAATTGCCATTGCCTTCAACCTCGCTCTCCAGACAATATCGTTGTATTGATTGTTTTGAGCGTTGTATTTTTTCTTCCTTCTTGTAACATTTATTAATCTGGCTATATATATTCGATTAAATATTTCAACACCAGACCTCAGGAAGGATTTGTAGCCAGCCATTATTATCATTATTATTACCATGTATAGAAAATATGATGTATATATATTTGGTATTTGGTATATACTTTGGTATTTCAAGATATTTTTGTGTCATTTTGGTAAATATATATGTTAAAATGAGATGTAAGTCTTATTTTCATTTTTGCGTAATTTAGACGACAATCCATCCATTGCACCAGGTATATCTACAGGTTAGTGATGCATTTTGGGTATTCTATTCTATTGCATTGTGGTTAGTCTATTGTTGTATTCCAGTGGTTATTTTGGTGAGCGGTAATAGTTGTGATTCGAATTATTTTATGGAGTTTTTACTGAGAATAATTGTCGATCCGAATTCAGGTTTATATTTATAATGTTCTTGGTTAATGTTTTTTTATTAGTTGTTTTATTGCTGGTTGTAATTAGTAGGTTTTCCTGAATTTATCTGTGCGTACGTTGTTTGTTAATTTGTTTGTTATTTACCCATTTATTTGTTTGGATTAATAAAGAACGGGAAGGCTTGTGTATTATTTTATCTTTTCTGGATCATTTCTTAAATAAGATTTTACTAACTTCAACACAGATTTTCTTTGCTATAAGCGTTTTTCATCCCACGTGATTTTACCACCAGTTTAATAATAACAGATGCTTATCTGAAACGACATGGTCATACATTAAAGTTTTTTTCACATTGTTATATGCTTACAATTCTACAATTCTGTCAAATTTCAATATGATATTCATATATATAAATATTAAAATAATATATAATGTATTCATATATATATATATATATATATATTATTTAGTTTCATATGTTCAAAGGCATTTACCAGATGTGCATATAGATTGAAGCAAATTGTTTGATGTGCTGCAGTCTTTTGATGTGAGAACTTGAATAATTTTTAATCGTTGTTGTCTGTATTGTCGGCCAAAATCCGGGAGAAAATCGATAGAATTTTATTATATGTTTACATGTCTCAATTTCCTCTGAGTGGTGACATTTCAGTGTTTTATTATGATAATTTCAGATAGATAGATAGATAGATAGATAGATAGATAGATAGATAGATAGATAGATAGGAACAAGCTTGAAATAGATAGATAGATAGATAGATAGATAGATAGATAGATAGATAGATAGATAGATAGATAGATAGATAGATAGATATGCACAAACTGAGGTAGATGTATACATCATCAATAAACTATAATTATACATGGTTTGAATTATTATTATTTTGTAATCATTTCATCTCATGCAAGACGATAACGCCACTAAGGTGCAAGGGGTTACTGAGAGTGAAATTCGGTGAGAAGATTTTTGTGAGAGAAAAGGACAATAAAATAACAAGTTTCAGAAATACAGAATATGGCGATTATTGCTGCATTTAAATTTTTGAAGATCGTAAGCAACATAAAAAAAAAAAAAAACGGAAGAAAATTGTAAATTGTGGATTGATAGTTGTGTTTTTTTTTTTAGTACACTGATCTGATAACAGACACGTGAGGCGTCTACTAAAGTCAGTAGTACTATGAACAATATGGACAATTTGGTCAGTCTCCCTTACTGCCACCAAAAGGGAAAATGTAAGAAAGCAGCAATGTAAGAAAATTAAATAAAGGAAATGAAATTAGATTTTCCTTGTCTGTCATATTTAACGAAAATGGTTAAAAATAAACTTGCTACTCAAATATATATAACCATCCATATACAAGACTGTTTCGCTGTATCACAGCTCATCAGTTTGTCTAGACATCCGATTCAAACGGGGATCAAAAGCCGACCGATTTGGAATCATTCAAATGACCTACCACCCAGAGAAAGGGAAATTTTAACATACTATATACGGATGTATACAAACGCCAGCAGCCAGAGGGTTATATATATATATATATATATATATATATATAT